TGACCAGTGGGGTTCCTCAAGGGTCAGTCCTCGGGCCAATGCTGTTCATCATATTTATCAATGACTTACCCGAATCCGTGCAGAGCTCCATCAAGGTCTTTGCAGATGATACCAAAATCTTCGGAACACCATCGTCCACTGGAACAAGCTCAATCCAGCGAGACATTGAAGAAGTGGCCAAGTGGTCGGAGAAGTGGCAACTGCCGTTCAATGAATCAAAGTGCAAGGTCCTTCATCTCGGCCCTAGGAATCCTGGGCACTCATACACCATGAATGGTCTCCAGCTGAATACGGTTGAAGTAGAGAAGGACCTGGGGGTTCAGCTGGATTCTGACCTGAAGTTTCGTAAGCAGGCCGCGTCTGCAGCTGCAAAGGGCAACCAAATGCTCGCACTGATAAAAAGATCGTTCACTTGCATTGATGCGACTACCCTGCCGATTCTCTTCAAAACGCTGGTACGACCCCATCTAGAATATGGGAACCTCATTTGGGGGCCCTTCAACCGAGCTGATCAGAGGCTGATTGAACGAGTGCAGCGGAGAGCAACCAAACTGGTCCGTGAGCTAAGACACTTGCCCTACCAGGAACGCCTCCGGCGACTCAAGCTCCCATCACTATATCACCGAAGACGGAGAGGAGACGTAATCGCCATCTTCCAGATTTTGACGGGAGGAGTCAACGTTCGGCCGGACCAGTTTTTCGAGCAGGCAGTCTCATCTGTCACCAGAGGACATGCTCTGAAGCTGCTGAAGCCTCAAGCTGCTTCAAGACCCAGGAGACACACTCTGTCGGTCCGCGCCATCAACGACTGGAATGCGCTTCCTGCCTCTGTGATCCTCTCTACGTCTGTCAATATCTTCAAAGCCCGTCTCGACTCTCACTGGGGTGATGCATCCTTTGACATCCCAGCCACTGGCGGATCCTGGGGGGGGTCCACGGGGTCATGACCCCCCCCAAAAGGTCTGAGAGGGTCATTTGACCCCCCCCAAAAGCCGAAGACCTAAATGCGCTATAGACGCCGTCTTGCATGCTCAAAATCACCTGTCAAACACTTCTGAGCTAATACCTTTGTTTTTCTGGATCGTGTTGCGTGAAAAGGCGTATTGAAGACCAGAATCTTACTCGTTTTTGTCTCAACCGTGCGAGCACCAGGGGATGATCCAGGAAAACTCCAAGGGGATGGTCATGAATTTAATTCGTGGTGCCCCTACCTATACGCAAAATTAAAAACTCAACGGATTTCGGTCACTTAATTTTGGTGATGTCCTATTTTCATTTTTTATTTTGTTTGTTTTATTTTTAGTGCCCCTGGGCCCTGGCAGGTCAAAATCACGTCTGAGGCGAAAGAAATTCACGGGAATCCCAAAAATCACGTCAGGACATTCAGGGCCCTCTGACCAGCCTGACAGCTAGGGCCCTTCTTACTTCCTGGGGCCTCCAGTGAATAACCGCTAGTGTCTGTGTCTGACCGCTAGGGCCCCTCTGACTCCTCAGTAGGTAGGAGGCCCTCTGTAGAGGAGGTCCTCTGTAGAAAGGAGGCCCTCAGTAGAGAGGAGGCCCCCTGTAGAGAGGAGACCCCTTTAAAGAGGAGGCCCTCTGTAGAGAGGAGACCTGCTGTAGAGAGAAGGCTCTATGTAGAGAGGAGGCCCTGTGTAGAGAGGAGGCCCTCTGTGGAAAGGAGACCGCCTGAATGCAGAAGGCCCTCTGAAGAGTGGAGACCCGCTGTAGAGAAGAGGCCCTCTGAAGAAAGGAGGCCCTCTGTAGAGAAGAGGCCCTCTGAAGAGAGGAGGCCCTTTGCAGAGATGAGGTCCTCTGGCTCTTTGAAGAGAGGAGGCCCTCTGTAAAGGAGGCCCTCTTAAAGGGAGAGACCCTCAGTAGAGAGGAAGCCCTCTGTAGAGAGGAGGCCCTGTAGCTTCTGTAGTTAAGAGGCCCTGTGAAAAGAGGAGGCCCGCAGTAGAGATCGGTGGTCCTCTGTAGAGAGGAGGCCCCCTCTGTGTTTTGACAAATGTTTTTGCAAATTTTTCGCGGCGCTTCGCGCCGCCGATTTATGTACATACGTACAGGTCAATACGAAATCTTGACTGTAATTACATAAACCAACCGTGTCAAATTGAATCAGAATTCATATGTGTGCTGTAAAGGAACTCCGGCTTGTACTGCAATGCTAAAAGGGTGGTAAAATTTGTGTTTTGGAGCTGTGTTTCGACACATTCTTTTGCAAATTTTCTCGGCGCTTCGCGCCGCCGATTTATACACCAATCAATAAGAGAGAAATAACAGTGACTGTAATAACACCAACCGTGTCAAATTGAATCGGAATTCATATGTGTACTGTGAAGGAACTCCGGCTTGTACTAGCATGCTAAAAAGGTTGTAATATTTGTGTTTTAGAGCTGTGTTTTGACAACTTTTTTTTTGCAAATTTTTGCGGCGCTTCGCGCCGCCGATTCATACACAGGTCAATAAGAGAGATCGTGACTGTATGCTACTATTTACTAATGCATTAGGCTAAAAGTGAGGTAACTATATCTACTTCTGGGTTTTTAAGTCGGTCGACCCGCCTCCCCCCCCCCCCCCCAGTAAAAAATCCGTGGCGACGCTCCTATATAGGTGGGTTTCACTAACTAAAACTACTGAGCCGAGTGACTTACGATAAAACTTCATCTTATAAACGACGAAGATCAAATGTCATTTTTTGATCTCGACATACTCGCTCCCTACCCCCCCCCCCCCGGTCGTCAGAATTCATTCACCAGACCTGGTATGTCGGCCGACTGGTGACCCCCCCCAAAACGACCCCCTAGATCCGCCCTTGATCCCAGCCCAAGATTCATGACTGTCTCTAGTAAGGAGCTCGATGAGATCAGATCCCTACAGGCCTTATAGGCCTCAAAATTCTGTATTGGTAAGGTAAGGTAAGGTAAGGTAACATTATTTTGTTGTATTCTTTCACATAAGTAATAGCAAAACAGTTGGGCCACTTTTTTACTCAACGAAAGTTTCAATTCGGATATCAACGCTGACGTCACAAGAGTGCTTGTAAACATTTGGCTACAATTGCGACGCAATAACAAATTTTGTAAATAATTTCCATTTTGAACGCATTCGGCTGGAACGCGTTTTAAACATTTTAAATTTTGTTTTGCGAGGTTGGTTGTGTTTTGAATGTTTACAGTCATAATGTGATATGTTTGAGGAGTTGCAAGAGCCTGTATGATGTTGAAAATTGCTTATTTCACCCTTCGCTCAAAATTGAATAAAAACTAGATCGTATTTTAATTTTTCACAAACAATGCCTATATTAAACCAGAAAATCGTGCATATGATACTTGCTCGTAAAAAATGTGCATACTTCGAGAAAAGATGTCAAAACCTTATCTAACCTGACCAAATCTTATGTAGGTAATTAGGTATCTTGGGTACCTTGCCTGTCGTCAATGGATGGTCGGACTCGGGTCAACTCACCTGTGCGGTGTAACTTATTAAGCATTTTGTGTAAAAATCAGTGAAGTATTAGTGTGTGGTAGATATCATTTTGGTTTCTCAAGCTTAAAAAATTTTGTTCATTCCTTTCATGTTTATTTTTTTGCAAGTTTCTCCAGTTTTCAGAGGGCGGAAATTGGAAAAGGTTTTTGTAGGTACCGTAAAACGGGGTGTTAAGGGACAGTTTTGAAGTGTTTTGTTATATTACTCAAGAAGGGTTGGAGATAGAAGCATCAAATTGTCAGCATTTTATGTGGAATTTGGTGCTTTACATGCCTGCCACATTAAAGTTTTTAAGATTTATACCTGCATATTATTTTTTATTTTTTTTTTCATCACTGTCCCTTAGCACCCCAATGTGGGGTGTTAAGGGACACCTATATTATTCCAAGAAATGGTCATCAAATGCCCACAATTGGGGTGTGGAAGGGCACACAATTTATTTATTGAAATGTTTTGCATATTCTGTCACAAAACAAGTCAGGTTCATTCACCACTAATGACCTTTTTAGCCAATTACGTGTAATGCAGTTTACGCTTGTGGAAAATGTGCTAATTATAAGGTAAAAAGAACCAAAAAGTAATCTTCTGTCATCAATAAAAACCCGTGTTGAAGCTTGTCACTTGTCATTATGTTGCCCTCTTTGTTTTAGCCTTTTTATGATGACATCACATTTACTTACATCAGTCTCCATTGACCCATCATTGTAAAAGAGAGTGTTGAGATGTTTTGTTACATAACTTAAGATGTGTTAGAGATAAAAGCATGAACTTGCCAGCATTTTATGTGGAATTTGGTGTTTTCCATGCCTACTTAATTAAATTATATTTAGATATTATTTTTTATTTTTTCTTCCCTGTTCCTTAGCACCCCACATCCACCTCAAAATATGCATGTATCCGGAAAAGAGGAAGAGGATAATGAATGAATGGGTGGATTTGCACAAGTTTTTCAGGAAACATGTGCAATACATGTGACAATACACCTATGTATTCATTTTCCCTGTACACCCACTAGTTTATGTGGTACACACAGAGTTTTGGAGATGTTTCAATTTTGTGAAAATGTAGGATGATTTTCAAATCCATTTTTGAACCAAATCACTTGCATGAAAAAACATACCATTTTCTCCTATGGTCAAGAGCAAAACAGTGTCAACTACCACACTGAAGTTTTTATTGAATCTTCTCAAATTAGGAAGTTAATATGACTCAAAGTTTTTCCCATGCAACTGTCCCTTAACACCCCACTGTCCCTTAACACCCCATTTTACGGTACCTACAACCTACCAACCAACAATCTAACAACCTACAACCTACAAACCTACCAACATGAAACCTAAAACCTACAAGTACAAAGCTACAACCTAACCTAACCTACAACCTCAAATTTCTGCCATTGCATATTCATATGGGCCACAATAGTAGATCGGACCTTATCTTGACAAATACTGATGTTTTTAGTTGCTGGGGTCACTGAAAATTTATCACACTAAAGTTAAGATGCACAAGGTTCCACTCATCTAGGAGTTAACTTATCATAAAGTTTGGCCCAGTTTGATGGCAACAGACAAGAGCTTTCATTTGCCTGTTGCCCTCAAAAGAAACTTTCTACTCTTGTTGCCACTCTGGATGGTTAATTTTCATAGCCATAAACCTATCTATTCTAAAGTACATCAGTTACCTGGTATGTTGTCTGTTGTGGAGGTCTGGTTGACTGATGATATATCATTCAAGCTGGTATTTTAAAAAAAAGAATGTACCACAAGACTGAGGTAAGGGCTGTAGCATGTTGCATTTTCTTTGTGCACAACTTGCTTGGCTGATTCAGCATTGTGGTCCTAGTATATGTACCTAAATGGATACAGCTATCATTCACTGGAGCTACACACTTTATTTTTACAGCTTTTTTATCTTGTATGCTAATTGATATATTATGAGGAATGATAAAAAGCATTTCAGTTTGCCATCAAGTCAAGCATGAAAATATGTGGCATCTATGATCTACCTACCTACTTATGGCATTCACAGTCAATGCTACCCCTACGCCTATCAAAATGTTTAGTTACTTAAGGGCAACAATTTTTTACGCCTATCATCTAGTCTTGTGATGATCGCCCACAGGCCACGGTTCATACATATTTTCTTCAACATTGCACACTTCTTAGGTTTCTCTTCTCTTTGAGCTCACTATAATAAAACACTTCTTGTTTTGGCAGTGGGCCATGGTGCAAAATGCAAATGTTGTCACTGAGGCTTAGGCATTTAAGCATTTGTTTTGTGGATATTTAAACATATTTTTGGTGATAAAATAACAATGATTGATGATAGTAAGCAAACATAGAAGTTAGAACTTGTAATAGCAAGGTAAATATCATTCAAATATTTTTTATAGGCTCACCAATCACACTCATCACCAAGATAACTTTATCTAAAATCACAGCTGATATTCAGCTTTGTGTCAGGAGGTTAGGATATTTTACTTATTCTTCTTCTTTCTTCACAGGGGTCTGTGTGAGTTACAAGCCAAAGATTTAACATGTGGGAGTCGCATAATGAATTTGATGACATTACCTTTGTGGAAGAAGAGGAGGTCTCACAAGAAGTCACTATTCAAGAAGATCAAGAAGAACCAGATGCAGTTAAGAAAGTCAACCCTCTCAGTGGGCTGAAACACCAAGATCCATTAAGCCTAGAGGCATTCTTTCTGGATGAGCTGACCCGAGAAATTGGATATGAAACTGATGAAGATGCCATCATTGATGTTTTGTGAGTATGTTTTTTGCATCATGTTGGTTCCTTCCCTGGAGTAGGGACATCCTAAAGAGTTGATATACATGTGCAGGTAATTTCATATCAATGAAATCAACTTCTTAACCAGTGCTTAAATAATCTTCGATCATCTAGTCTGGTGTAGATGAACCAAGCAAATAAATGTCCACTGACATTTAACACTTTGTTCATTTTGGTTACATGCTACCTAGTAAAGGATATCTAGTTCCAATATCTGGTCTATTCCAGACCGTCGGAGAAGGAGCCTCCTTTGCCGAACATTAAGAGGGTCGACTTGTACTTCGAGGAGACCATCCCCAGGATGAGTGACGCCGAATTTCGCGAGAATTTCCGCGTCAAGCGGTCGACGCTGGCCTGCCTGGTTGAGATTCTGGGCGAGCGAGACGGCACCTTTCAGAGTCACTGTCCGATCAACTCGTACATGTCGCGCGAGCGCCAGCTGCTGCTCGCGCTCTTCTACCTGGGCAGCACCGTCTCCTTCCGGAAGATCTCGGAGCAGTTTAACATGACCATGTCATCGGCGTTTGACTTCATCGACGAGGTGGTGGAGCAGCTGGCAAACTTGAAGGAGATCTTCATCCGCATGCCGTCTACGCACCAGATGCAGGGCACCGTGGACGGCTTCTACGAGGTGTCGGGCGTGCAGGGCGTGCTCGGCGTGGTCAACGACTGCCACATACCCATCCGCAAGCCGATGCACGACCCGGAGACGTTCTCCAACTGGCGTGGCTTCTTTTCTGTCCACCTGATGACGGTGTCGGACGCCTATGACCGGCTGACGGACGTGTGCGTCGGCTGGCCGGGCGGCATGCACGAGGCCGAGGTGCTCGACAGCGGTCCGCTCTCGGCGCAGCTGTCGCGCGACGACATGCGCGAGAATTTCGTGCCGGGCGACTGTTTCCTGGTGGGCGCCGAGACGCTGCCGCTGCGGCCGTGGCTGATGACGCCGTACCGCGCCAACCGGCTGCCGCCCAGCGACGCGCGCAAGTACTACTACAACACTAAGATGGAGCAGACGGCCGAGGTGGGCCGGCGGGCCGTCGGCGTGATGCGCGCCCGATTCCGCCGGCTCAGCTTCGTCGACACCAAGTCGGTGAAGAAGGCCGTGATGCTGACGTGCGCCTCGTGCGTGCTGCACAACATGTGCCTGACGCTGGAGGACCGCTGGGGCGAGGAGCTGGTCGAGGAGGATGAGGTGGAAGGCGTGAAGCGCGCCGAGGGGCCGCCGGGACCGGGAGGTAACCTGGCGCCGGCCGGCGCGCACCGCCGCAGGAACCGGTTGGTGGAGGAGCTCTGGAGCCAGCGGTCCCGGCGGACGTGAGGTCCACGCGACAGTCCAGTGACCAGTCCCAGACTTCTGACTGCACGCCTGCACGGCAAGGGGACGCGGTGGAGAACGTCTATCAGAAGACCTTCGTCAAGACTGAGAACGTTGGGGCGAAAGACTGGCTCATCATATACAGGTTCATCATTCACGAAACACATCTCATTTAGCTGGTAGATGGTATCATCAGAGGCCGACGGTTAGTTTCACATGCAGTGTCCGGCGCTATTTGTGTTGATGTGTTTAATGCCTTTCGTTTAGTTTGTAGTGTGCTTATCTCGCTTTCATTTGATATCAAGTTTCTTTTTATTTTAGCTTGAACTTACTGTTCGAAATTTATCCCTCTAGTGCGATGTCATCCTTCATGTAAGTAAATTTTGCACCAGCATCGAAGTGCATACTGCATAGTAATGGGGCGGTCTGTGAGAAATGTGAACTGTTGTGAATGTCACATTTTCGAATGAATGTACATACTTGAAGCGTGACCGCCTCGCGTTGCTACTGTCTCCGACTGCGTGCATGGAACTGATGCAAACGCAATGTGAATAAAAATGCGTACTGCAGTCGCTCGTCTTGGAGTGTGACTGCGCGCAATTCAGTGTTAGTTGGCAAATGAAGAAATTAACCCACGAGCCGCTGGGGGGGGGCATAAAGTTGCCCCCCTTTACGTTTTGTGAAATATCTCCGAAACCTGATGAGCTACGAACGTGAAACTTGGCATAGCTTCAAATGAATACCTAGGCAATGTTTGAGGAAAGTTTGGTGGTTGTAGTACCTAAGATGACGTCACAGTGATGTCATAAAGTTTTGTCGTTTTCCGATATGGACCGTTTCTGATGACGCTGAGCATGAAACTCAACTGTAAATGAACTAGACAGCACCTGCTGTCATCCTAAAACATTTAAACACTTCCATCTAGTTTCTGACCAATAATCGACCCTTTATATTCGGTCCAATATATCTGATGTATCGTGAGGAATATGAGAGTCGCAAATCTATAATTTCACTTATGACGTCACTGTGACGTCATTTCAAATGGGATCGACACCAACTTTGGACACAACCTCAGCTAGGTATTCAGAAAGATGTGTGCAAAGTTTCGCTTCTCTATCTCTTCGCGTTGCGACGATATCGTCGCAGAAGTAAAGGGGGGGGGGGCAACTATATGCCCCCCCCCAGCGGCCGGCGGGTGGCGCGGAGGCCCAGCGGCCGCCGGGTTAAAGAGGCTCGTAGACGAAGCGGGACGGAAGTGAACTGACAGATTACTGCACTTGTCACAGCTCTACTGTTATAAAAATGTCTCGGTTTGCGCCTGACCTGGCGATCGGCCTGTCAGAATCTTTACATGGGATGCAGTCACAGGTCATGTACGGCAATAGGCGGGAACTTTGCATCTCTTATTCCATTTCCCAGACCTCTGAGCTCTGACCATACGCTCCACACTCGTGCTTTTGTACGAAAATCAGTCAATCTCATCAATCGCTACCAAATAGTGTGTTCACTGAACGCTGAATTGGAAACTCGCACCCGCGACCGCATACAATGGTCGAACTAGAAAAAGGTCATCTGACGATCCGTAAAGGGCTACAAATGTTTCGAAATGTTTAAATGTTAGTTTCTTTAATCATTTTTTTTTCGAGCAATGAGCAGTTTTGAAAACAATACAATCGGGAGGATTTGGATCGGGCGAGGTTTCGACTAGGCTATGAGAGAAAAGTCAATATCCAAATCCCCTCCTGTACTCCGAGCACTCGCCAGTACACAACGATATTTTGCAAGTGAATCGGCAAAGACTGGCAATATGTCCCCCGAGACTGTATATTACACAAAATATCGCAAGCTGACAATCGACATGTCACATTCATTTGACATTTCTCAGGTTAACAAACCAGCTCAAGAAATGTCTGAATTCAATGAGCTGTGAACACGCCCGTGTCGCAATACCGAGAGGGGGAAATAACTAAGAAAACCTATATTTAAAATGTTCCCATGCTTTGCTCAATGCTCATGGTACCACGAAATAAGCCTAGTGACATATGATGAAAAGAAAACGCACAGATTTCGCTCGCGTAGTCAATCCAAACGACGAAAAACAAGTGCTATCATTCTCGCCACACTGAAGATTATGATACATCGTAACACTGCTGTGGTGATGAACGTGAGAACAAAGCCTGGATGCTATTTACATCGGATGATATCAGGTAGACCCGGAGCAGCGCATTCCACTCCCGCGCGAGAACAGCGACGCGCACTGTCCCGTAACTTCGTCCATCGCGCACGGTCCGGACTCCGCCAAACGCCAAATCAAATCGCAAAATCCGCAGGCACTCGACTCAAGCACACTGAACGCCCCACGAGCCAGACACCTCGGTGTCCGTGCCTCCTACCGTCCGCCACTCCCCACACCTGTCAGCCAGTTCGTGCACACTCGCCGCCACCGGCGTCTCAGGGGTGAATGCGCCCCTCCATGACGTTGACGAGCCTCTCGAGGGCACGGATGCGGCGCTCCTCCAGCTGGAGGCGCTGCTCCTCGCGGCGCGCCTTCGCCCGCAGGTAGTCCTCCACGAAGAGCGCTTTCCGCTTGGTGGCGAACGCCTCGATGTCGGCCTGCTGCTGCTGCGGCGTGCCCGCCTGCAGCACGGTGGCTTCCACGGGCGGCGCGGAGGCCACCGGCACGTCATCCTGCGACAGCGGCTGCAGCACGCCGTTCGGACCCAGCTTGAACACGGACGTCTGGCTACCGGGAGAGGCCACCGCCGCCGCCGCCGCCACCGTCGCAGCCGCCGCCTTCGCCGCCTTGCTCAGCTTGGGTGTGCCGGCGGCTGCCTTGGGCGTGCCGGCCGCGCTGGTAGGGGCCGACGGTTTGGGAGGCGCCGGCGCGATGTCTTTGAGCTTGCGTTTACCGCCCGCTGGTTTACTGGCCGTCAGCATGTTTGCACCGGTGGAGAGCGGGAACCCGGAGAGCGGCGGCAGCGTACGAGATGATATCACCATCAGTGGGATGGTCGGATTCAGACGGTCGCCCAGAATACGCTCCATCTGCTCGTAGTAGCGCCACTTGATCTTCGGCTCGCGGCCATACCGTCTGGCGAGGTTGTCGCGGTTCTGTCTGGTGCGCTTGAACGAGCCGACCAACATGTTCCAGCGGACACGCACCTCCTCTCCGGGCATCTTGAGCAGGTCGCCGATCTCCCGCCAGAATGACTTGCGGTTCTTGGGAGACAGCTTGCTGTACTCTTCATAGCGTTCCTCCATGATGTCAATCAGACGAGACGTGCTGGCCATCTCGCCCTCCGCGTCAGCCGGCAGCAGCATACCCGTGCCCGTCTGCACGCTGCCGTCCTCATCCGGCTCCAGCGGCATCGAGGAGAGCACGAACTCGGGCCGGTTCACCGCCGCGTCGCCCAGCACCTTGTCCATCTTGTTGAAGAAACGCCAAGGGTTGCCTCGCATGCGGCCCTGCGAGATGGCCATCCGGACCCGGTTGTAGGAGGCGGTCAGGTGGTTCCAGCGCATGCGCGCCTCCTCGCCGGTGGCGCCCACAATCTGTCCCGTCATCTTCCAGTGCTTCTTGCGCTCCCTGGGCAGCAGCTGGATGTACCTCTGGTAGCGCGCCTGCATGCAGTCGATGAGCAGCAGGATGCGCTCGTCGCTCCATTCGACGCCCGGATCGTCGGGCACCGAGCAGAACTGGGCGTGCTTCTCGCACATGGCCAGCTCGCTGAACAGCATGCCGCACGTGGGACACGGATAGGCGTTGGTGGTCTCGGGCTCGTCCTCCTCCTCGGGCTCGGCCTCAATCTCCTCCTCGGCCTCCACCTCCTCCACCTCCGCGTTCTTCGACATTGTTGCCGCGTAACCAGAAACAGCGGTGCTCTGAAACAAACAGACGGTTAATTTATACATTTTTAAATGTTTACCTTGGCGCTGTGGGAGGGGATGAGAGAATGCCCAGAATATTCCAGATTGCATGCATGTACCAGTGACAGCAATATCGTATTTCGTGTATAACGATTTTTTAAGAGACCTGGGGGCTGAAGCCAGGTGCTATGAGATAGGTGGGCACCATTCATCAGGACCGTAAATTCATTGTTTGTTTCCTCCCTTCAACAAAACGAGGCTTTTTATAAATTTGGTCCGAACCTTTTGATTGGAAGGATTCACAAGGACAGAGCCCTCGCTAAGCAAAGCTTGTTGCGTTGACCCTGCCGGCTGCCCTCTACTCTCCGATCGCGCAATTCCGGTTCTATGGCTGAATTTGGAGTCCAAAGTTTAACGTGCGCGCAAGCCGCGCACGCCGGTCCCCTCACTGACCTCGCCTGGCTACGGCCTGCCACCAACCGCAACCATACCTATCAGGAGACCCATAAACGTCAAGCGCCCGTCGCGCTTCGAACACGGACTGTGGTAACCGGGAACGCGTGCTCTCACCACGCGGAGCCCAACGCTCTACCGACTGAACTACAGGACCGGCAAATTCGCTGTTCGCAAATTTTTCGCAAATTCGTTGTTGTCGCTGTTGAATGGCAAAGCGCTGTTCACGGGCCCTGTGTGCGGTCAGACCGTACACAGGCTCTAAGCTCCGCCCACTGCGTCCCTAAATCAGCCTTCCGTCACCACACACAGCGACCGCTGTGGTCGGTCGGGACCGGGGACCGGCCGCAGCGGACCGTCCACCGCACGCAGCCGTGACGTCAGAACCGCCTAACCATTCCCTACCCCCACGCCTAAATCGTAACAGCAAGACGTGCGAGACTCCGCACCTTAGATTGGCATCACCATCGTACTCATTTTCCATCCAGTTTGGCAACAAAACCCAAAAGTTTAGATTTGCCCCGAAAACAAACTTTTGCATTTTGTTGCCACACAAGGCATATAGTTTGTTTAGTGATAAACCCAATCAAGGAGTGGAGCATGGCGCCTCTACTTGCAGTGAGTTCCGACCGACTGATAACATGATCTTTGAGTTATTACCGGTTTTGTCGAAAAAATAATACCTACCACGCAGTCTGCTGAGGGCTGTACCTATTTGAGTGGATGAGGAGTTTAGAGATCCGATTTTTGTGATTTTTTAGCCTAATTAGATCATTTTTAGGTTTGAAATTAGGGAAAGTGTATTACCAAATCATCAAAATATATTAAATTGGAGCACAATCCGGCTGTTTTTATCCGACACAGAACTTCCTTTTCACTAACAATTGTTCTACCCTCATTTTGGACAGACCAACCGATTGTAGGTATACAGCTTGGAGACCATATTCCGCGACAGAGTTTCTTTGGTGGGACATCATTTTTTGTAAGTCAGCACATCACCATATAGGAAAAACGATCTCTTGACGTCAACGCCAGTGACTGGCGCGTATTTGAAGCAGGCCATGTCTGCCGGCGTCGTTGTGTGGACGGTAGCACCGCACTCGGGTCCTCTCCCTGCAGGGTGTTATCGACGACCTTCAGCATTGCAACATCCGGAGTTCTCACGAGAACGTCTTCGAGTTTGTTGTGACTGTGCGAACACTGTGTTAGACTACAGGCTTCTCAGTCCTCTCCCAGACTCTTGCCAGTGCTCAGCTCGGCTGTATTTTCTACACTACCTGCCAAACACCACCGGTTCACAAGGTCTGACTGGGTGTAGCTTTAGCCTGAGTGGCCGTTTTCCCTGACAAATCATTTTTCAGGCTTGAAATGTCAAAAATATGTGATATTATGGTCAAATGTCAAGCCTGGAATTATGGTAGAAAACATGGCTAATAGAAGCCTCTCAATGAACCAAGTATTTTGCATTCCTTCAGAGTTATCAGTTCTGAGAAAATTCCTCAAGATCCATCTTGGATCCATGACCCAGTAGATGGATGGAATGGAGATTGAGACAAAACCGGGATAAATAGAAATGAATGAATATTTTTGGCAGGGCTGCGGAGTCAATGGATTTTCGGCGACTCCGACTCCGACTCCGGCTTTCAAAAACCAGCTCCGACTCCGGGCAGAAGTGTCAACTCCGACCGACTTCAACTCCCGACTCCGACTCCGCAGACCTAGCAGACCTTTACTGTAGCTCTGGCACGGTGACAAAGTTGCAAAAAAGTGACTTGAGGTTGGGTCATTCAAAGTGACCTGGTGACCTGACCTTAACCCGCGCCCTGCTGGGGGGGGGGGGTGTTTGAACACCCCCCCCCCCTTGTGGTTTTTCGCGAATATCTCAAAAACGGCGGCGCGGAGCGCCGCCGTTTTTGGTAAACCTTATCATACATCAATTCTACACATGTTGTGAAAATTTCAGACCAAGGTCATTCAAGGTCAGGTCACCAGGTCACTTGAAGTGACCTCACCTCATAAAAACTTTCAATGTCTGTCATAGCTACACCGAGTGACCGATCGCTTTGAAACTTTCAGCGATTGCTAAGGGCAATAGCATGTACAAAATGTATATCTCAGAATTTTGATATCGATGACCTAAGGTCAGGTCAATTTTGCGACCTCCCCATTATAAGTCAATGGGAGAAAATTGAAATGAGCCTCTTTTGGATGAAAGACATTATAAACACTCCCAAACACCGAATTACAAGTGTTTTAGACACACTGAACTTGAAAATGGTGTCCGTGACCCTTGTTTATGCCCTGAGGTCATCTCAGGTCACGAATGGTATCTAACAGTTTTTCGCAAATAACTTTTGATAGAGGCATTCTAGAGCGATGAAAACGCCTTAGATGTGTTCAGCTCGACGATACGGATCGACTGATATGCAACATGACCCTTTCCGGTCAGGTCATGACCTTGACCTGAGGTCAAATTTTCAAGTTGACCCTTCAAGGTCAAGTTATAGTTCATTCGATGCGTCTTGACGAGAGGAACACGATGGCGGTAAAAGTAAGCTCGTACAAGGCTTGGGTCAAAAGTTATTGCAGAAAAACTGTTTTCGAAAAAATCGGCTATTTTTGCAGTTTTTGCCCCCTGCAGGCAAAGCCGTTGACGTTAGGTCAAATCTGAGAGAATTACTCAGAAAGGGCGTTAATAGGGCTATCGAATGCGCTTTTCCGCGGCGCTGTAGCTCTATTGGTTCCCGAGTTATGCGTTGGCTTCTTGGAAATTTTCGACATTTGACCTGGAAATCGGCGAAATTTTGTCTTCAATGACCTCTGGTGACCTGACCTTTGCCCTGACCAAAAAATTGACCGAAGTGATTTCGTCATTATTTTTGACGCTCTTTCGAACGCCGCCTTCCGCGTATCGCTACGTGGCCCAGGAGCCGAGTTAGAAGGGGGGGTGTTCAACCCCCCCCCCCCAGCAGGGCGTGGAAATCCAGGACCCCCAGCAGGGCGCGGGTTAAAAGTTAGGAGGTTCAAACTAGCACATCATGTGTAAAATTGATAAGAGAATAGTCATAACAAATTTCGCGGCGCTACGCGCCGCGGTTTTCCCGCTATTCGCGAAAAACCTCAGGGGGGGCGGATATCCGCCCCCCGTCGGTGCGCGGGTCAAGGTCAAATTACAGTTCATTCGACGCGTCTCGGCGAGGGGAACACGATTCTGGCAATAGAAATGTCGTGGCTTTTTGTAGTCGAAAGTTATTGTCGAAAAACACTTTTCGTAAAAACAGCTATTTTTGGATTTTTTGCCCTCTGGAGGCTAAACCGTTGACCTGAGGTCAACATTGATAATGACCTTTTCAAAAGAAGAGTTCAAAAGCTATAGATTGCTCTTCCATGCCTTTTTCTAGCTACCATAGTTCCTGAGATAGCGGCATGTTTTCTGAAAAATATGACAATTGTCAAATTTTGACCTTTAATGACCTCTGGTGACCCCAATATTGCTCTAAGGTGAAAAATGACCGAAATACTTTCAAATGTACGCATTGAGAGCTATCGACTGCTTTTTACAGCGTCTTTCTAGCCCTCTTAGTTTTTTAGTAAGAGGTGGGTGGTAACATATGCCCCCTCCCCCCCACTAGAGCGAAGTTGGCTGAGACCACCACTGGGGCGAGGGTTAATAAACGCTAGCCCATGACATTGACATAGCTACACACGTTACTGTTACACCGCCAAACTTACATGTTCTGAATAGAGCTGAAGGTTTAAAATGTGGTATGTCTATGCACTCATAATAAATTGCATAATAAAATGACAGTTTAAGGTGATTAATTATCAAGAGCATCGCTACTGATACAAAATAAAATTGATGCCTATAAACTAGAAGGGCCAGTTCCAGAGTGTGACATTTATGGCTCACCTTTTCAACGCCTTTTTACGCTTCCACCAATAACTTGAAACGTAAAAGCAAAACACCGAATAATTTGTTTAATACTTATCCCACTTTTTAGCATGGAGTACACTGCAATGCTTCAAATTCAAATTATTTCGGCCAAATAACGCGCCTCTTCTGCGCCATAAATGCAGGGACAGACTGCGTTCGAAAGCGGGCGTTGACGAATCGCAAAGAGCTTCTTCGTCATCCACGAGTTCTGACCAATCAGAAAGCTGCTTTGGTCTGCGTTGAGCGCTTTGTCGATAAATAGCAAACTCTGTTTTATCACTATTTATTTTAAATTTCACTTTTACTTTATGTTTGATTACTTTTCTGGTGATATAACCACTATAATATGTGACTTTGTATCTAAAAGACGGTGTCGCGCACTTTAGTACCAGCGACTTGTCAATCACGTCGGGCTCCATGATTTGCATTGGATTTACGTTACATGTGAGATTTATTTCAATTTTGCGGTGAAAATTAGGTAGTTTTATTTGCTGATGCATATGCAAGACATAGTCAAAATAATCTATAATGTCTTCACTCATGCCAACCATCCAAACGATTAAAAAATTGCAAGACATAGTGCTCGAGTCTGTGCTTTCTAATGTATTGTTAGCTTCTCTAGTGAGTTGTGCATGATCAAAAATCCCTTACATCAATTGCAATAGCCGTGTTTACATGGAAGTGTTGCAAGCTTATCATTAGGTATAGCTACGCCTGTAATGTTGCAATAGATGCCAATGGTGCTTCACAATTTACAAAATGATGCTTTCTCAATCTTCCAAGAGCACTCCATCAAAATTATCACAAAATAAATGAGCTAAAGCATAGTTAAAAAATGTTATGTAACCAGGCATTATATAAGAATAGTTAGATTTCTGACTTTTTGATTTTTTTTTTGGTTTAGTAAAATTGTCATTAGTCACGTTTACTAGCATTTTTGATGAGGCTCCAGCTCATTCACTCTGTGATAATTTTGAAGCAGTGATCTTTGTATATTTAGAGGGGATAGTTTTGTAAATTGTAAATTGCACCATTGGCATCTTTTGCAACCTTACAGGCGAAGCCATAAGCTTGCAACAATCCCTATGTAAATGAGACTACTGTAAACATTTGCCCTAAATCCATGAACAAATAAATGCATGTCAGCAACTGATTTTGCTGACATGCAAAATCAGTCAGCAAAATAGCATTGCATGCTAAGCATGCAATGCTATGCTTAGCATTGCAGTTTGTAATCTATTTTGATTTGTAACAGTAATGCACATTCACTCTGTTTGTGTATCCAGGGCCACTGGTGTTGAAATATGGCCTTGCACATCCTGGTTGGATGGGCTGCTGGAGGGATGGGGGCATTTGCCCTCTCACAATATAAGAAATAGCATTTTGTCTCTTTTCTTTTTTGTGCTAGTGCATTATTGTTATACTGCTCAGAGTGTTCATGTTCTAGTGTTCAAGTAGCTATCAGTGGTTTCAATTATATTGTTTAAACAGTACTCAGCATGAGTAACATTATCAGTGGTTAAGGTTTCAGTGATATTGTTTAAACTGTGGTCATAATGTTTCTTTCAGATGAAGAAGTGAAGTTTGTGCAATATCACAATGCACCCTGGTCAGGATTACTATGGTGGACAGAGGATGCCAGGTCCTCCCAGGCCATACTCGGGTCCTCCACCACCAGCCGGGTCACAAATGCCTCCCTTTGGCAGTCCTCCAGAGTACTACCCACCCTCCAGGTCATATCCCCCACCACCGCCGCACCCTGGCCCCTATTACCCTCCTCATCCAATGAACGGACCGCCGCCGGGGGTGCCGGGCGTTCCACCACCGTATGGACCGCCTCCCTTTGGCCCTCCACCAGCCTGTGATCCCTACCGGCCCATGTACCCGCCTCCTCGCTGGGGTGCGCCGCCGCCTCCAGGGCCTCCCCCGCCCCCGCCCCCGCCGCCGCCCGGTGAGCGGCCGCCGAGTCGGCAGCAGAGGGAGCCACCTCGGGACGGCCGGGCGTCGGACCAGCCGCCAGGCCCGGAGAGGGACCGCGACCGAACCCGAGATCGAGACCGAGACCGAGACCGAGACCGAGACCGGGACCGGGACCGAGACCGAGACCGAGACCGGGACCGGGACAGAGACAGAGAGCGGGACAGAGACAGAGACAGAGCTCGAGACGGAGAGGGGGAGCGGAGTCGGGACCGGATGGACGGTGGCCGCGACCGGCGCCGTGTGGACGATCGGCGAGGGACCGGCGGTGGCAGGCCATGGGAGCGTCCACAGGACGGCAGGTCGAGCCGATCCGAGTCGTACCGGCGAGATCGCGGCGACGCCGAGCCGCGACGGGAGAGGGACGACCGCGTCAGACGGGAGGAGAGCCAGTCGCGCCGGCGGGACGAGTGCCGTCCGCAGCGGGAGAGGGAGCGGGAGCCGCGTCCTCGCCGTGGAGAGGAGGACCGCCGTGACCGGGAGCGCAGTGAGAGCGCCCGCCCGCGGGGCGCCGAGGACCGCAGACCGGACGGCCGCCGGCGGGACGACCGGTCTCCGCCACCGAAACGGCGCCGCCCCGACGAGGGTCGGCCGGACGGGGAGAGGACGCGCCCCAGGCGGGAGGAAGAGCGCGGAGGGCGGCGACGTGAGGAAAACCGCCGGCCGAAGAAGGCGCCGGGAATCGGCAGCCAGCCGCCGACGGACCCCGACCTGCTGCCGGACAGCACCGAGAGAGACAAGTAAGGACCACCAATGGGCAACTGAATGGGATAGGGAACCCGCAGCAGGGATGGGGAACGCAGGTCGCCGTGATAGGTCACGCCGCTAGAAATGCGTAAATTTATTCACCTCCCGAATAACTCCCTTCTCGTGTCCCCTGTGCCTTCCGTGAAGCTATCTGCCTTTTTTATATCGCCCGTGTCATCCTGTCTGACGACGGTCTGATGATGCCTCCAGGCGGTTTGAAGAGGAGGAGCGGCAGCTGCAGGAGAAGCGCGAAATGATCCGCGCCGCTCTGGAGGAGGAGGAGAAGATCTGGACACGCTCCTCGCCGGCCGAGCTCTACTATCAGCGGCAGGCCGAGTGAGTCGCGTACAACGTCCAGTTGCGGACACCGTCAGCCTGCCGTTGATGCCGAGAGGGATGCTGGCTGGCTGCTGAAACTCATAGCATGCTGTTGGAGATAGATTGAACACCAAAACATTTTGATCGTGTGGTCACCTAGGTCTCGATTTTCCGTTATTGATTATAATATGTATCGTGTTTATGCGAGTCTTTTAAGACTGCTTTTAGTTGTCCCATAAGCATAAGCTTCTTCCCACACCTCCAGCATAATTAGTTCACGGCAGACTGCGACTGTGTATGTGTGTAAGATTGCAGCATGATCTGCTTAGTGATTATCCCATCACCGGGCCTCCTGCTGACCCGCCCTCCCCTGTGTTACTACAGAGACGGCCGCGTGACGGAGGCCACGGAGCGGACCCGCGCCCAGTGTGCCGGGTTCCGGCACGAGCTGGCCGAGCGGGCCGACCGGGTGCGCGCCGAACTGCCGCCCGTCGAGCTGCCGCCGCTCAGCGCAAAGTGCCACGTCCACAACTGCGGTACGTACTACGGCGCGCAGTAGCAGCAGTAACGAGGTGTACCTGGGAGTGTTACATCCGTGATTCGTAACATTTCCTCATTTGGCGACATTATTGGGTGGTAGGGGTATTGACTATATCACTGGTAGCAGTTAGCGGTCTGGTCTTGGTACATTTTTTTGGGTGAACGATCCCGAAGAGGCAAAACATTGACATGACCTCCGGCACCCCTCCCGACCGACAGGTGGCAGTGAGAGCGACGACAGCTCTTCGAGCGGCTCCGAGAGCGAGGACGAGACTGTGCTGCTCAATGAGGAACTGGACCGCAAGAGCCGCCACCCGTACCGGCTGCACCCGGAGCTCTGGTACAACGACGCCGGAAAGGTACGGCGTGCCGAGGGCGGAGGGTGAGGATGTCGGGATAGCTGTGTGTCCATGGGGATGAAATTTCAATGCGATGAGGCTACTCATGACCTTTAAACCAAACACTAAAGTTGACTAATGTTAATTAATGTTTCTCTGGTTTCAGTTTCATAGTGCATTTTAGCACCAAGCTGTTGGAATGGTTTTGATCCGATCAACACACCTCTGTCCATTGCTACTGACGGAAACGTCTACCCGCCAAGTATTACTAGCCTAGTCTAACTCAACTCCTCCCTTCCACTCAGATGAACGTGGGCGATGTGTGCCGGTGCAGCATTAAGTCGCGCCAGGCCGGTATCCGACACAACATCTACGTGGGCGAGGAGCCGGTACCGCGCTGTGACCCGTGGACCAACAACGGCGACAAACTCTTCCACTACCGCGTGCTCATCTGTCCGCCCACCAACTTCCTGGTGAGTGCGGAACAGATATCGCCATGCCAGCTGACGTGCCGGCGATGGCATCGGCATGGAAACTGGGAAACTGGGGCTGAGAATTGAACGGGGCTGGGAACAGTTGGTGCAGCTGGTTTGTCCTTTGTGCCGTCATATTTCTGGCGCTGTGTGTAATTCCTGTGCTGTTCTTTTAAATCACTTGTGCTGGTGTTCGTTTTTTGTTTTCTCACCTTATCCTGACTGCCTGATCTGACCCTCCACTGCCGCTGTACAGGTTGGTAAACCGACCAGCATCCACCACGACGGGCACGAGTTCATCTTCGAGGGCCTCTCGCTGCTGTCGCACTACAAGCTGACGGAGCTGCCGCCGTGCCACATCATCCGCTTCAACATCGAGTACACGGTGCTGTACGTGGAGGAGAAGCTGCCCGATAACTTCGTGCTGGAGGAGGTCGAGCTCTTCAGTGAGTGGGCTGGGGCTGGGCTGGCTAACGGGGCAGTCGCGGGAAGTGAATGTAATATTGGGGAGACAGAAGGGAAATATTAACCCTCGCCCCGTTGGGGGGGGCCATTTTGGCCCCCCCCCCCCTGTGGTTTTTCCTGAATAGCAAGAAAACGGCGGCGCGCAGCGCCGCCAAATTTTCAGTACCTTCCCGGGCATCAATTTGACACCTTCACACCAAATTTCAAGTCTTAGGTCACCTTAGGTCAGGAGTTATTGAGGTCAAACTGAGGTCATGTTCGAGCAAAAATGAGCAAAAAACATGCAATCTTGAAACGCTCACCAAATCTACAGTTATCAAGCAATTTCAAAGTTCTTTATATGGTCTAGTAGACAAAAAGCGGCGCTACAAAACTGCTATCTCGGATTTTCAAAATTTTTGGTTTTTGACCAAAAAAAGATCAAAAAATTGATTTTTTTAGAAAAACTATTAAAAAATCCAAAATTTTTCCGAATTTCGAAAAAACCGGAATATATGTGATAGTCCCAGCGCTCTTCTATATACATACCAAATTTCAGATCGATATCTCGTTTTTTGGCCAAGTTATGGCGAAAAACTGTTCAAAAATGATGACGTCAAATTTTTGAACTCAATTTTTAGCAATTCTAGACCACGTACGGCAAAACAAAGACCACCATTGAACTCCCCGTGACGAGCTGCATCGATTCGATACCCATTTTATGCAAAAATATTAACTTTGAAATTTGACCTAATTTGACCTGACCTTGACCTGACCTTGACCTGACCTTGACCAAAACGTGATCTAAGCTGGCCCCAAAGGCTGCCTGACCCATATAATCGCATTTGTCATGTAAAATGGACCATAAAACATGTATCACACGACACTTTCATATTGTGACCCCCCCGTGACCTGACCTCTGTGACCTGACCTGGTATCAGTGACCTCAAATAGCAAAATATGTGTTTGAAGAACATTTCCCCATCGATGATTTTCAATGAAATGCATTTTACTCGATTTTACAACGCATTTCTTGAAGTGTCTGTAAACGGTGAAAATTGGACCTTTGACCTGACCTGTGACGTCATCGGTTTGACCTAGGTCAATAAAATTGGGTCACAAGGTAGTTCCCCGTTGGGGCTATCCAACGCCGTTTACCGCTTGTCGCTATGTTGCGTGGTTCTCGAGATCTTAGGGGGGGGGGGGCCAAAATGGCCCCCCCCCCCCCAACCGGGCGCGTTGCTCGGCAGAGCCCAACGGGGCGCGGGTTAATCTCGGAGTGACGACGGCTTTCTTTTCGATTTTAGCGTCAGACTGTCAGTTTAGCGTTTCTTTAACCTCAGCCACATTCGTTATTTACTTTTGTTCAATACTACCTATAATGTGTTGACCAGAGTGTTTCCTGATTTGTACTTAACATTTTATACCATTTTATGTCAGTCGTCTAGGATCGTGCTGTATATCGCAGTGTACCTTTTTGACCTGTCAGCAGTCGGTACTGCTGTTTCCACCCCTGACCTCCCTGTCTCTCCGCCGACAGAGAGTTTTCTGTACGACAGCCTGCTGGAGATGGCCGACCTGGACCTGTACCCGCACGCCGACAAGGACAAGACCGGCTGTCCCGTGTTCCACCTGTTCCCCAGATTCGTCAGGGACATCGCAGGTGAGCAGCATGTGCCCTGTAGATGCTGTCAATGAGCTGGTGGTGGCGATCAGGCCAGCGTCCGGCGATAGATTCCAAACAGTTCTGCTAGGATATGTCTAGTTTAAAACGCTACATGTCCCTTCATTTCGGTTCTCACTTATCTTTTACATGCAAAATGAAACAATCATTTATGCATTCTCGTGTTTCCTCTCCCCTGTTCTCATTGGTTTTTGATATTTGTTTCTCTTGGACCTTGTATGTTTTGTGCAAGCTAAGATTACTGTTCTTCCTTTGTCCGTTTATTCATTTCCAAGGCCTCAAGTGAGAATCTCTCTAATGATGGGCGTGGGTGCCCTCCAGGCGCTCATTTCCTGTTCGCTGCTGGTGCTGCAGCCCTCTAACGCGCTCCACCCCTCCCCAGACAACGGGAAGGAGATTCTCTCCCTGAACGAGGTGCTGTCCTACCTGCTGAAGAGCGACGGCCCGCTGGTGGACGAACACGAGCTGGCCGAGATCGCCGCCATGGAGCAGTGGCAGTGGCAGGCGCGCGCCGACCTCGTCAGAGGTGTGGGGACAGGCACACAGATAGTGCGGCTGGGTCGTGATTTAGTGATGGTGCTTTACTGTCGTCAAAAATGCTTAGATACACAGTGACATCGCGTCGAAAATAGCATCGATCCATACTTGAGTTGTTGTTAATTACAGGCTGAAAAGGCCCAAGATGCTTTCTTTCAGGTTCACCCGACTCCCTGCTTACGCTCAGGCCGTGTCAGTCTGTCAGGTATTGTAATTTGAATATGGTAGCTCAGGCTGTGCCCAAGCATTGTAAGCCGAGCTCTCCTGCTCAGCTGCGCCCGTCACCCAATGTTATAAGCTGGGCTGCATTCTCAGCCTGTCTCTCTGTCCTGCAGGGATGCTGGTGACCCACCCGGGCCGTAAGCCGGCCTGTATCCGCCTGGACCAGCTGGACAGAGAGGTGCTGCCGGGCGGAGAGAAGCCGGCAGAGGGCGAGCTGCATTTCCCGGAGATCGTCCACTTCGGCATCCGGCCGCCACAGCTCAGCTACGCCGGCAACCCCGAGTGAGTGACGCCGTGGGGCAGGAGTTCAGGGCGTGGGGGATGGTTCAGGCTGACCTATTAGATTAGCTGGAGTGGATATAAGAAGTTCGTAGTATTGTGCGTTTAAAATGTATGTTTGCTTGATAAACTGTCAGTTTTTCTAGCGAAAGACGAGCAATTCGTCGGAATTTTTCCTAAAAGCTCATAGTCGTGAAAAAATGAATATCACCGAAAATATCGGAGTGCCCGAGAGTCCAGATTTGAGAATGACCCCTTCCGCCCTCTCCCCAACTGTTCAACTGCTCTTACCTTCCATTGTCAGACTGTGACCCGCCCTGGTATGACCTTTCCCTTGTCATCTCCCCTACCAGGTACCAGAAGGCGTGGCGCGACTACGTCAAGTACCGCCACCTGCTCGCCAACCTGCCCAAGCCGTCGATGGAGGATAAGCGGAAGCTGTCGGTGAAGGAGGACCAGCTGCAGACGCTCCGGCTGCAGGCCAAGCTAAAGCGGGACGTCACCGTCGCCGTCTCCAGCAAGGGCTTCCGCAAGACGGGCCTGATGTCAGATGTGGTGCAGGTGGGTAGAATGCATAGGCGGCGGGACGGGGAGGGCACCGGGGCACCGTGCCCCCTTTGATTTTGGCATTTTAACATTAGCCCTATGGGCGCTGCATGGAAAGAATGGGACCAAAAGTCGTCAGTGCCCCCCCCCCCCCTTAATTGAAGGTGTTCCGCCGCTACTGGTAGAATGGTCACACAGTAGGACGGAGGCATATACGGGAGTCACAGTGTGGCACGAATACAATAACGAGTTGAGACTCGATGTGATGAGTTATGTGACAGTCGCTTAGGACATCCGCTGCATGTACATTTTCTTGTTTTGATTACGTACTTATTGCCGTGATACGAGTATGACCACGGACCAGACAGTGCCATTCATGTACATAGGTATGTTTGTGTTTCAGCACGCGCTGTTCCTGCCGGTGCTGATGTGCCACCTGCGGTTCCACAAGTCGCTGGACATTCTGGAGCAGACCATCGACTACAAGTTCCAGAACCGGTCGCTGCTGCAGCTGGCGCTCACACACCCCAGCTACAGGTGGGAGGGAACGGCAGACTGCAAACACCTGGACTTGGGAGCGGGGACAGGGCCAGGGGACTGGTCGGCTGAAGTGGGTGTTCGTTCTGCACACTACACCAACCACCATTGTCACCGCTTTTCCCTCGTTATTTTTTTTCACATCTGTTGGGATAAGTTTACAACTCTGGCAAGTACTTTCAGTGGTTATATGCAGACGCGAGTTTCGAGTCGACGCGCCGCTGTCGAGTGCTCTCGGCTTTAGCTCTTCCCTGCTCTGTGTAATTTGTATCGTATCCCTTTACCGTTCGGACCACTGACGACCTATCCCGCCTGTCGTCAGGGAGAACCACGGCACCAACCCGGACCACTCGCGTAACTCGCTGTCCAACTGCGGTATCCGTCAGCCCGAGTACGGAGACCGGTGCATCAACTACACCGCGTCCAGGAAACGGGGTACGTTCTACGGTCGTTTAACCGAGTGCACAGTCGCTGGGATGGAGTATCAGCTTGGGGGGGACTGTAGGCTGGGTTAAGATGTCGGGATAGGGTGGCGCTGCCATGCTCATGCTGAGCCCTATTGTAACAGAAAGGCATGATCTGATTCTGAATATGTCTTGTCTTTGTCTGTCTTTGTCTTTTACCAGCTCGTTTGATATGCAGTAATGTCCGATGCATTTATGGCCCCTGACCGCCCTGAAGTCGGTGCCTTATTTAGATATTGTTTCAGAGAGTGTTCGGCTAACTCAGCTTGTTCCGATCCCACGCAGGTCTGAACATCCTGATCAACATCATGTCTCAGTTCGGGAAGAAGGAGGCGACAGAGAGTCGGATCACGCACAACGAGCGACTCGAGTTTCTCGGCGACGCCGTGGTCGAGTTCCTCACCTCCATCCACCTGTTCTTCATGTTTCCCGACCTCGAGGAGGGTGGACTGGCCACCTACAGGTGCGTCTGCAGGCCGAATGAGCCGTACCTATTGTAGTCCGTCCATCAGTTAGTGGCTCCAATTACTTGAGTAAATTTGCTTAAGATTATATTACATTTTTGTTTCGATGTACCATACGATTTTTTATTTTGTTGAATGTAACTAGTTGAATGTAATTAGTTCATCGTCCTGCAGTTTCTGGACCTGCGATTATTCATTGTATAAGTCACCACCAGGGCGCCCCCACACTCCGCCTGCACATCCCCTAACCCCACCACCCCATCTCCACAGAGCTGCGATCGTACAGAACCAGCACCTGGCTGTGCTGGCGCGCCACCTGCGTCTGCACGAGTACCTGCTGTACGCGCACGGCTCGGACCTGTGCCACGACCTGGAGCTGCGACACGCCATGGCCAACTGTTTCGAGGCGCTCATGGGAGCGCTGTTCCTGGACGCCGGCATCGAGGTGGCCGATAAGGTATGTGCCAGATGTAGAACAAGACAAAAGGATTTGACAGGAAACTGATTATTCTGAGTTGACAGCATCAACACTAATGACGGATTTACGTTGTTGGTCGGTTGGTACCTTTCTATGATTTTGCTTGGTTTCATTTATAGCAGGAAAGGTTTCACCGGTGCGTTCATGGTATAGTACTGTTTTTTTAAAGGCGTGTTTCAGCATTCAGAAAAATGCGATTCTAAACTATGAGAGTCCTCCCTTTTCCGGGCTTTTTACTTCATGTAAACAAAAGCTTACGTAATACGTATGCCTTATTTAGTTCATATAGGAGTAAAGTGTTATAAAGCCGGTCTTATCCTCTTCGCTGTAAATGACCTCTTAGTAACCCTCCCTTACTCCGCTGCGCCGCCTTCAGGTGTTCTCCCGCACCTTGTACATTGACGACGACCGTCTGCTGAGCATCTGGCAGCACTACCCGCCGCACCCGCTGCAGGAGCAGGAGCCGCAGGGCGACAGGAAGTGGATCGACAAGTTCCCGCGGCTCCAGGTAACGGCCAACGGCTCGCTGAGCCTGGGGAGGGGGCGGGACGCGGAGTGCCACGGTGGACAGGACTGGCCGGTGACCGACCGTGTGGTACGATGATTGGCAAATGAAGATTCGATTTGTCTTTTCATGATAAGTGAATGGTACGTTCAGTTATGCTTGAAACCAACAAAAAGGTGTGTTGGGAAGGTAACTGCGCTGTTGTCTGGCTACTAGCTGAACTTTGTGTTAAATTACCGGACGTTACGAGTACCCCAAGTTTCGGGCTCACGTTTCCGGACTGTGACTGACAATATTATATTACGTTCGCTTGGCTGATGCGTATCCGCCTGAAAACCCCCGACGCTGACCGTCGCTGTCCGCCGCTCTCCGTTTCAGCAAATGCGCGAGTTTGAGAAGCAGGTGGGCGTCGAGTTCATGCACATCCGGCTGCTGGCGCGCTCGTTCACCGACCGCAGCATCGGCTTCAACAACCTGACGCTGGGCTCCAACCAGCGGCTGGAGTTTCTGGGGGATACCGTGCTGCAGCTGATCGCCTCCGAGTACCTGTATCGGCACTTCCCCGAGCACCACGAGGGACACCTCTCGGTAAGTGCACAAAATGTCACCTCTTGGTCAATACAAGGAGTGTTTTGTGGTCTTTGCATTTATGCACGGATGACTTATTTGGCATATCCGGTATATTTAGGGACATCAACTCTGTAGCATGCTCGTTATTCCGTAGCCTAGTAACATTGGCCACTTAATAGCAATTCATGGACTCACCTAAACGTGTCCCTTCCCATCGCCGTCCCCTTGTCTGACTTCGTGCTCCCCTCTGCTGCCCACAGCTGCTGCGCTCCTCGCTGGTCAACAACCGCACCCAGGCGGTGGTGTGCACCGACCTGGGCATGACAAAGTACGCCGCGTACAGCCACCTCAAGTCGGAGATCAAGATGAAGGACAAGGCCGACCTGCTGGAAGCCTTCATCGGCGCACTCTACGTCGACAAGGTGATGAGGGGAGGGATGTGAACGTGCAAGCATGGATGGAGCTGGAACATGTGGGTGTTATTCATTGGAGTTCTTCTGTCCACCCTAAATGGGTGACCTTGCCAGTACCTATATACATAAATAGTCAAACTAAAACTAGCATGCGAAACCAACATCACTGAAACTAACATCAAAATGTTGCGAGCATTTTGAAGCATAAGCCGAAACAAAGCCTCAGCAATGAACGCCACGTAAGATATTTGCCATAGTCACCTCTTGACATAATACTCGTTTGCACACAGCACAATACTGTCCGTCCATCGTGTCTCATTTCGCTGTATCCCGGTGTACCGACAGGGCCTGGAGTTTTGCCGCAAGTTTTGCGAGGTGTGCTTCTTCCCTCGGCTGCAGCTGTTCATCCTGAACCAGGACTGGAACGACCCCAAGTCGAAGCTGCAGCAGTGCTGCCTGACTCTGCGCAACATGGACGGCTCCGAGCCAGACATTCCCGTCTACAAGTGAGTCATGAGGGGATATTTGGTTGGGGAACCATCACATTCTTTGGGCGTATTTTTGTATGGCTATTTCAATTACTATAAAACAGCATGCCAATATCGCAAGGTTAATTGTTTCTGGCCTTCAAAATGAATTAAAATTTGGTTGCTCTTCTGGGGCATTTGATGCCTACTGCTTCTGGAACAGTGGAGCTACACACGTAACTTAGATGCAGACTTGTTCAGCTAATTATTTATGCTTCATGAATGTAGCAGCGGATGGGATACTGATGTCATCCATCGCAGTCCTGCCTCTGGGTTTATCTCCATTCCACCGATTACTGACAGCTGACCTCTGCCGCTCGTCTGCGCCAGGGTGATCGAGTGCATGGGCCCGACCAACACGCGCGTCTACTCGGTGGCCGTCTACTTCCAAGGCCGGCGGCTAGCCAAGGCGTCCGGACACAGCATCCAGATGGCAGAGATGAACGCCGCCACACAGGCACTGGCCAACTGCAAACGTGAGTAACTATCGGCAGACTGTGGGCGCTGGCCAACTGCAAACGTGAGTGCATTGTTTGTACGACACAACTATCGTGCGTGGCGTGGATCGTGAACAGGTTGGACGAGCGGAAGTCAAGATTTCTGCGGAAATCGGATCTGGGGGGGGGGGGGGGGTAGTGATTTCGCTCCTTTTTAACAAACTCCATTTTATAACATTGTATTTAACTGCTTACGTTTTTGACTTTCCAAACTTTTATCATTGCGGAAGTTTTTTCCCGTTCGCCGGCACCCTTCAGTACTCGGTCTTGAATCAGGCTGGGCGGCGTTAATTGCTGCGATCCCCGGTCCAGCCCGCCCTGTTTGCCACCTCCCGCGGTCACCGTCCGTCGTCCCGTCTGGCCGGTTTTTGCCCTCCCCGTCCAGCGCCGGCCGGCGGCCGTGGCCGCGGTCCAGGGTCGCGGCCCCCGTCCCGCCCCGTCAGCACCTCTGTGTGTGTCTGCGGGCTGACTCTGTCTCCGGGCCGGATGGGCCCAGTTACTCCGAGCGTGATCAGCTCAGATTGACCCGTCCCCCGCCGCCCGGCCGCCGGCGGACGCTCAGACAGACATGGGCGGTTTTTGCGAGAGGAGCTGTGTGCGCCCCCCGGCTGTCGCCAGCGCTGACTGTGCGTCTCGTCTGCAGCTGACTGGAGTTTTTGCAGCTAGATGCATAAACAACAATGCTTTTTAGGATCACCACTGCCAGTTTTTGTACAATTTAATTGGGTCTCGCCATTAGTTTTTTTTCTGCTTTCCTCCAGATTTCCTAGTATTTGACATGAACTGTTTATCGTCTGGATTCTGACTTGTATCGTGGAGAGATATGCAGTTGTCAGGGCGTCCGCGAGTCATTTCATAATTTTTATGTCACAGTTTCGGGCGGTGCGATTCCATACGATGGGGCGCACCACAATGTTTGCTGCGTCCGTTGTCGCTATCAGCGGGGCCTCTGATGCTCTAACACAGATTCGGGCGATATTCTTCGGCGGATAGGTACGGCGATAGTAACACATGTAAATCTATCGACCTTTTGTGTACCTATTAGCTATTCAAACATAGTTCGTAATCAGATGTAACGTCGCTGTATCGTATTGCGTACGGCACGATCATGTGTGGGTCCTTAATATAACTAGGACACTTAAATTAGCGACACTTCGTCGTTTTGCGTAATCCGATATGGATGTAATAAGAGTTGTTTACCGCCGGTGACACGATTACGTGTTGAGTCCCAAAACCAGGGCGACTTTGTCAGTACTGTTGATCTCTAAATTAACGCTCCATGTCAAAACACGATGTTCATTAGGATGTGATTGTGCAATTGCATCAAATGTCTCCATCTGCCTATGCGATCTAGGGATCCCATTTTCCTCTCGGTGGCAGGTCATTTGTGCAGTCTGCGCCGAGGTATGCAGTATTCACTGCATGACCTGGCAGTGAGACGCTGTTATTAGTCTGAGTATTGTGTAATGACAGAATAAAAAAGGCATAAAAGTTAATGCGGAAATGAAAGCCCAGTTTCAAATCAGGAGCACACCGGAACAGAAGAGCGGTGCACTACTCGCTAGTCGGGTAAAAATCCATGGAGCTCAGCTCGGCATAAAGCTTTGCAAGCTGATTCGTCAGTACAATCGTGCTTTTGCGGAGCCAGACGTAAGCCCGATACCACGTAACGTAATCTGTTGTTTTTTTAACCGAGCATCAGCTGGCCCTCAGTGGTAAAATGTTTCATAATTTTCGCTGTCGGGCGGCGGTCGGTCGGGTATCTGCAGTGGATGTGGTGGGCACGAGCCGCCCGTGTTGTCAGCCGCGGTATTTGCAGAGTGCGGAGTGCGGATTTCGTACTCCTCTACTGCCCCGCCCCGATCTGCTGGGAAGTTATGACGCCACGGGACAAAGGGAGGTGCAAAGGACGAAAGTCTTCAAAGGTGTGGCCTGAAGCGTGGCTTTCCTTCAACAGCGCTTTGGGTCCAGTTTTCTTCTGAGGGCGTAACGGCGGGACATTAGCTCAATCAAAACCCACATCTGAGCCGGACTATGAGTTATGACCGTGCCGAACTATGCTTCTGACACGGATAGCTTCCCGCCGTGCGCTTCCCCCGGCGGGCTCCGGCGTGACACAGTGTGTGGCCGTCCCGTACGGCCGGACGGGACAGAGGCGTTATCGTCCGGCGGGGCGGGGCCGGGGCGCGGCAGACGTGACCGTCAACAATCCGCCACGGACAGATACGGCACGGATAGGTCGATGAAAACACGCCGCTTGAGGAGTTTGGGGCACAAGCAGTATAGCACAGGATAGCTGGTCGGCTCATGGGCCAGGGATTGGGAATCATTTGGTATTTTCCAGAGATCAAGAAAATCGATAATGTTGGAACCCATAATTTGTGTAGCTCATGTAAATACACTGGTTTCAGTGATCTCGTCTGCATATGCTCAGTCTTTTTTTCATGAATGTAACACATCGTGGCAGTGATAACCTAAAGCGTTCTGCTTGTGCAACAACATATTCCGATCGTGTTCTGTCCTTGTTTTCAGACTTGTTCCCGCAGTTGGACCACCAGAACCGTGTGATCGCCAAGAACATCCGCATCCAGACCAAGCGTCTTGAGGAGCAGCAGGCCGGAGACTCGGCCGACCCCCGATCCCAGTCGCGCGGAGAGTCGCGAGGCAGCGACGCCGAAGGCAGGTCACGAGAGTCGCGAGGCTGCGACGCCGAAGGCAGGTCCCGAGAGTCGCGGGGTAGCGATGCCGAAGGCAGGTCCCGAGAGTCGCGAGGTAGCGACGCCGAAGGCAGGTCCCAATCGCGCGGAGAGTCCAGGGCTGGCGACACCGAGAGTAGGTCACAATCGCGCGAGGTTAGAGCGTTCAGTGATGACGTGAGGTCACTACGAAGTGACACGGATGATCAAAAGTCACCCATCCGTGATTCACGGAAGGATGATGACGATTACCCCGAGTCCCCCATTCATGAATCACGAAAAGATTCTGTTGATTCCGGGTCCAACACTCGTTTGTCACGAAAAAACGACACAGTTGATTCTGAGCCCACCCCTCGTGAATCACGTAAAAATGACACGGTTGACACCGAGTCCCCCATTCAAGAATCACGGAAAGACTCTGTTGATTCTGAGTGCCACGCTCGTTTGGCACGGAACAACGACACGGATGATCTGAAATATCTCACCCGTGAATCACGGAAAGACAACACTGTTGATCCTGAGTCTCCAGTTCGTAAATCACGAAAAGGCTTTGTTGTTTCCGAATCACACGCTCGTGATTCACGAAAAGACGACACCGATGATCCCGAGTCCCCCGTTCGTGAGTCCCGAGAGGACGACACCGATGGTACTGTGTCTCTGCCGCGCGATTTACGTGCCAGCTCGGCCAATGCGGACTCGCCGGTGGCGGAGTCGGTGTCCCAGTGCCGTGATGATGCTGACGGTGACAGCACCCAGTTGGGAGACGTTTGCCAGTCCCCAGCTGTCGCTGGGGCGACCACAGAAGACGACGACTCAGCTCCGACATAATGTGCCCTTTGATATTGGTGCTGTGTTCCGAAACCGGCGCATTTGGCTGTTGATACATTCTAGAATTGTATGTGACGTGACAGGCCACAGTTTTGGACGTGCAGCGTTCTGTATCTGAGTATCTGTAGCTGAGTGTCAGTACCTGCATTAGTGTACGTATGCATTTGCATTTTGACGCGTGTGTTCGTGTATGTTTGCGCGCCCGTCTATTGTTGCTATCTTCTCTACCGCCACAATTTCTCCGATGGATGTGAATTGTGGCTAAGAGCTTTCAGTACGTGAGTTGTCACCCCGCCCTATGAAAGATCGCTCTACCCGGTCTATGACTGTGATGGGCCCTTTTGTGAGGGCCAGGTCGTCCCGCCCCGACTGTGAAACTTGCAATCCAATGCGTGTGGTGCCAGTCTTCCCTACTTGACTGACCTGTGCCTCGTGTAAGACCCTGTTGGGTCGTCGGGACCGGATCTCACCATCGTAGGGTTTAGTCACTAGCGGATAGGTGCTCACTACGGGACTGTCCGCCGTTGTTCTGTGATATATTGCCGAGGGGCTCTTGTGACCGGCGATCGCAACTCAACGCTACACACCTTAGTCATTGTAGTTTTCCCGCCTGATTTTCAGCTACGCTTGCTCTTTTTTGTCTTATATTCGGTAACCTGTTTTTCTTGTAATGAATATTGGCTGGTAGGTATAGTTTGATTTTCTTTTTCTTTTTTTGTATTGCTTTGTCGACTAGGCGTAATATGCCACCGGAAATACCGATGAATTGGTTGGCGTAAAAGTCGAATCTTACTCTGATCAGCACCGTCTGTGCCGATCAGACCGTGCTCTGATCAGAGTATCTGACTGTATCATACTAGCCTTGGTGTTCGTAAATGTATGTTTGGTTGTTATTTTTACAGCCGTGCAATACATACTTCAGTGTGCTAAGTTCTGTTTACTTCCTCTGACAGCTTTCCGGGCTGGAATTCTTGAAGCACTTCTCAGCCGACTACTTACGCTACACCGTAGGCTGGGTGATAACTATGAAGTGACGAATTTTCGACCAGTGCGAGTAACAGCGTCTGTCTATGACATTTATCGAGAATGTCAATAGCAATGACTATCCTGACTGATATAATTGTTTAAGTGCTGTCGACATTGCTGTTCTTCATCTCTAGCCTCTAGTCACGGTGCATATAAATATCCGTGTCTATCTATGTGGTTGGGCAGCGTATCACACGACGATTACGTCAGAACGACAGATCTAAAAACGGTTCTCGCTCGTCATCCCGTGGTCTGTCCGGTGGTGTGAGGCGTTGCAGATCCCGTGGTTTCCAGGGCTGTGCTCCACTCCCCATGCTGTTTAGGTCGCGTGGCCACCCGGTTACCAAGCCGTGCTTATGCCATGTTGCTCGAGTCAGGAGAATGCCCCGACCGTGATCAGTTCGTGATGTGCACGTGATGACACCACTCCCGGCCGTGATACAATACGAGTCACCGTGATTGCCGGGGTGGGCTGCTCACGGTCGTATCGCTCTGCAGACGTGACTGACGGACGTCCACTAATCCCCCTCACGTCTTTTCTCCCGCTGACAGCCGTCATCTGACCTTGACATTGGCTGGCTCCTGCGGCGCTGCCGCCTGCCAGCGGCGCACGTCATCGGCGGGACGTAAACAGCCGCCGGTACCGTGTCACCCGCCGTCTGTGTGTGCGTGTGTGGCGGAGGGAGGCGGGCGCTCAGTCGGTCCGGCGGCCCCGTCCCGCCCGGTCACGGTGTGTGCTCCGTGGAGGGCTCGTGTCTACCCGACCCAGCCAGACCGACTGGACCCGAGGACCCGTCTGGACTCTGGAGGTGCCAGTCCGCCGCCACTACAGGTGGGTGCCAGTCTCTCACCTCCCCGCTCTGTCTCCGGTCAGGCTCAGCGCCTCTCGCCGCGCCTATCGCCGTGCTCTCGCTAATCCTCCGCCGCCAGCCGACGAGTCGGATCACCCCTCCCCTCCCATCCTTCCAGCTCTCCCCCGGTGCGGTGGGATCCAGCTGAGATTCCGGGGGGCTCGCGCCGGTGTTGGAGCCGGGCCTACCTGTCCGCCGCTCGGGACGGCGCCGTAGCGGCCCAGTCAGTGTGCCGAGCGCCGCCGTCGGCCGCGGCTGGATGTGGGCTCTGCGGCTGCTGTGCAGCTCAGCAGCTGACGCCATGTGGACCCTGGGACCGGCCCGTGACCAGCGAGGTGGAGAGGAGCGCGATGAAGACGAGGCTACCGATGTGGCGGGTCAGCTGCGAGAGGAGGAGCTGAGACATCTTAGAGAGGAGGAGCGGAGACATCTCAGGGAGGAGGAGCGGAGGCACCTCAGGGAGGAGGAGCTGCGCCACCTGAGAGAGGGAGAGCTGCAGCAGCTCCGGCGGCCACCTCGAGTGCACAGTACGTACGACTTGGAGGAGGGGAGATAGTAGGGGACCCGGGCCAGTTTGCCAAAGTGCAATAAGAACACTAATTCGTCCAGAGCAAGCATGAGCCTTGTGAGCATTCGATGATACTGTAGTTTTCTAGTGTTTACATAGGAGGCACTCATAAGTCATAACATCTTAGTTTTTTTTACATCATTAAAGTTATGTAACTGGTGTTTATTTGGCGATTGTCTTGCAAGTGGCACTTTTCACCCAAATGCTTCAAAAGAATATTGATTCATTCGCCCGAACTTACTTGGCCGTTGTGGAAGATTGTCGCTTTGCTTTACAATTTTACGAAAATTGCTCCCGAAGTTCTTTCTCTCGTGGTTTACGGATAACGATCTATTTTATTGCTCCTGGTATGTGAGTTGTTCTGTTTGATGAGTAGCATTATCATATCATTAATCGGTTAAATTAAGTTTAACTAAGGGTGATTTCTTCACGAATTGTATTGGTTTATTTTGCTGTCCATCGTGTCGTTCAATGTCCGCCGTATTCCCATCTCAATCAACGGTCGCTTATAACGTCTCCCTTTTACCGCTCGATAGTCGGTCAGGACATCTCCTTTTACCGCTTGATAATGCCTCTCTCAATAATAATGCCGCTTAATAATGCCTCTCTCATACCGCTCTGTAGAAGGTTATAACACCTCCCTTTTTCCGTTCCATAGTCGACCATAGCGTCTATCTTGCTCGTTAGTCGGTTCATAACGTTTCCGTTTACCTTTCGGGAGACGGTCAAAGTCATAACCACGTCTCTTCTCGGTTGTCGGTCAGAACATCTTGTACCGCTCAATAGTCGGTGATACGTCTCTCTCTTACCGCTCGTTAGTCGGTCGTTACAGCTCTCTTTTACCGCTTGGTAGTCGTCCATATAACGTCTCCGTTTTACCGATCGGTTATAACTTTACCGCTCAATATTCGTAGGCATAAGCGTACTTTTCTCAAAAACAAAGTCAGGTCTGATAGCATCATTTATGGTGGACCATTCGAATTATGGAGCGTTTATGATAATAAACGCTTATCTTATGCCGTATGCGGCACTTATGCATCGGCTTTCGAGCCCGAGCCGATGCATTCCAAAACAAAATCTTCTTACTTCTAGCGTTATCTTGCCGCCGCTGCAAAGATGACGCCTCCTCCAGGCGGACGGACCGGCAGAGTTCCGGTTCGCCTCAGGTGAAAGCAGCGCCGGTTTCGCCCGTGCATATCCGGACCTGCCGCGACCAGACCGACCTCGCCACCAGCAACATTCCTGCGCGGATCTGAGGAGCGCAGAGTTGGGCCATCGCCACCTGCACTCCGCAGGCTGCGCCGACCGCGGACGTACCGGTTCGCCCCGGGGCACAGGACGCGACCTCGGCATCAAAACATTGCAGAAACTTGAATCGAGCATACGGGCAAGATTCATACGGGCACGTCGCACTCAGCTGTGATTGGTCGCTGTGTCTGGCGATGACGTCACAGATCGGTGCGTCGTGTGACGTCATCCACTACTAGGCCTGCGCCGGGGGTCTATCGGCGGCGCCCGGCGGTGGCCGCAGTGGCACAGTCGGTCGGCCGCACGTGCCGGGTGGAGTGTCGACGCGTGGCGCTCCCGGTGGGCTGGTCGCATCCGAGCGAGGACGGGAGGCGGGCCGATTCAGCATCCGGACACGAACGCAGGTACCGAGTCTCGTATACCAGCACACCGTGAGTGGCTGTATTTCAGGCTACCTTGACCCGCTTGGCCAGACGGCGAACGCCCATTTAAATTCCAGCCACCGACGTCTGTTTTGCATGTTGCGTACGTGCCTCTGGCTCTGGCCGAGTCGAGGCACCGGCTACCTGCTATTCGCCTGTCGTAAATCTTGCTCTGTTCCGGCCGCTCGATCAGAATAAGCCGTTACCGAGTTCTATTTACAGCCTTCGTGTGTTATATTGTCGTGTGCCTGCGTCTCGTGAGTGTCGCCCGCCGAGTGTGGGGCGGGGTGACACCGGCCCGGTCGACAGGTCGCCGCTCGGACGGCCACATTCCGTGTGCCTGGTCCGGCTGGTCCGGTTCCGATCCAGCGCGCCGCCGAGGCTCGTCGGTTCCGGTTGGTGCCTCCTCACTCCGTGTGAGGAGCAGGGCAGCCGAGCACGAGTCTTCTCGTTTCCCGGCCGGGTGGGTCGGTGATTTAGAGCGGGTGAATGCACCGCCCCGAAACCACGCCGCCAGGCTACAGCGACAAATAATTTATTTATATGGTTTATTATTTTTAATAGGGGTACCTAACTGAGATTCTTCGGCATGCCTGCTCCTCTCATTCGTTATTGTTTTCTCTGGTTATTTTTATAATGCCCGTATAAGCTCCTTAGATTCCCAGTGATCGTCCGTAGTATTCAATGAAAAAGAAACGTGCACAAGACATTTTAGGACGGCAACGGATGCGGTAAATGGCTCGTCGGTCTGTCTCATAGGCATAAAAACTTATCGTTCATCTCTTTTATTCATCTTTTTATCGTTAATCAAGGGGGTCTAGGACGGGTAAACGTTATCTTTTATTTTAACTTCCGCTTATATGATTGCGTGATTGATCGACATACCCTACATATCTATGCCCATCACTTCATGGCCCGATAATGCATATTATTGCCCGTACCCTGAGCCAAAGTTCAGCCACGATATCCAGGAAACACCATCTCGGCCTGTGGTCGCGTGGCTCGCAGCTGCATATATACGGACACGGCCGAAAACGGACTTTGTGACGGGGCAAACGCACTGGACCCTGGCTGGGCCGTCACAAGTGTCGTTCGGTCAATGTGCATGCGTCGCGAATTCGGCATTCTCACGTTGACGGTTGTGGTATCATGTTTGCGGACTAGGGCCGACCGAGACGAAACGGGCAGACCGAGGCGTCATCGCCTGCAGGGCTAAATATAGCGAGCCGGCTGTTAAAAGTCCGTCATATTATGTGCAGTACCAAGCGTACCTAAATATAGTTAAACCGCAGGTCTCATCTTATATAATGGGCCACTGTCGGTGCTGGCAAACCGTTTATAAGCCCTCGCAGCGATCAGGGCATGCATTTCCTGTTCGCCGGATGTGAAATGACCCGTAGATTGACCGGCCAACGACTACGGGCTGACCGCTGATCTCAAAACTTTTGGAACGTCCGTTGAATGAGATATAACCTGTCCCGTGACCTGTCCACTTCCAGTCCACGACTAGTTCATGGCAGATGAGCGGTTCTACTACTTTCCAACCGTCGAACACCCTTCGACGGGCGACGTCATTTCCGATGGTGCATATTCATTGATTTAGCAATACCGCATCAGTGAGGAGGCTGCCGACTAGCAATAGCTTATGTGCATGCTACACATGACTGTGACTGTGCGCCTCTTTGCTAGGCATCGTTTGTCGACCTGGCAAGCTGACCGACTTCTGAAAGTGCCCCTGACCCATCTTCGCCTCAACAACTGCGTTGTTTGCTCCCGATTACGATTCAATAATGTTAGCAATTGGGACGAACTAAA